ATATGTAGTGCAGTTGTATAGATATATATAATAAGAATATTATATATAAAAGAGAGACCATAATTTAAAGCATTCTCTAAATCATGGTTTCTGTTGGGCTCGCGGCATTTGGATGTTTCAATTTCCTTGAGGCAACAATCTGATGATTCCAAGCACGACTAGAGAGTAAACGACAACACGGCGTTGCGAAAGAACGATAGTATACAGAAGAGCAAGAGGAAAAATAAAATTTAAAAAATAAAAATGTAAATACAAAGTAAAACAGATATATAAAATGAAACGGATGAGTTATACAGAGTATGGTGTATGTACAGAACCAGGAGATGAGTGAGGACAAAAGAGATAGGTGAGAGGAGGCTGAAAATAAAAAATGCGAGGTTAATTTTTGTCTGCAGTACATACTCGTGTACACGAGTTAAACGATGATGCAACTTTTAAAATATTGCGAGTACTGTTCGTAACTATTCGCATTTATTATTGAATGGTGAAGGGAGCGAGAGCTAACACGAAAAACGAGCTTCCAACCAAGCAATGATACTGTCCAAAATTTACTTTGATGACGTTGATGTCCTCTGGTTTATAACAAATTTTGTGACGCGGAGATATATTTTACAAATGTCAACTTTTTATTATTCTTTATTATTATTAGAAAAATTTTAATTAATTTTTTTATTTTTGATAGTTTATGCAGGAAAGTGAGTAAATCTTTCAGAGTACATAAAAACCGATAGTTACCGGAAGTAAGTGAACGATGCAAGTAGTTAGTTTAACACAGAGTAATGGTTCTATTACCTTTTAATTGATACATCGATTTTTATTTCCTCTAAATCTTTCCTGATTGGCCCGTTAACGTTTCTCGTAAAATCCCATTTGGTAACCTGAAGACGATGTAATAAGCAATTAAACTGCAAGAAAATTTTAAATTACATAAAAATCAGCCATCTCAAAATTTTTTCATTATTTCTCTCAAACTCAATTCTATTTCTCCGTATCGTTGTATATATAAATATATAACCACTGGTAAAGTCTTGATCTCCAATTTGTCAACTCATCGGCCTAGCGGCAAGAATATTCGTCACATGGTGCAGGTCGTGACTTTATATTGCCTATTTGATCCTTTGAAATCCGAGGAAATCAATCGTTGATTCGGGATGCGCGTAAATCCATATAAATAAGCTAAACAATTTGCCGTAGGTATAGACGAAACATCAGGGGGTGTCTACGTACGTCTATAGACATATATCGCACCCACACCCATTTACCGTATACTATATTACCCCCTTCGCTCTTCAGCTTTCACCCCGGCAGCCAATATTTACACCCAGACATAACAGGAAAAAACTCATACGTGAGCATGCTAGTCAGCAGGAGGCAGCTCGAATCCGTGAGCTGTGAGCGGTGAGGGTGCATGGATACGTGAATAAAAGGTAGCAAAATGTAGAGGGCTTTGGATCTTGGGATATTTTAACGTAACATTCTCGTCAATCGGATAACACAACACGTAGAATAGAGACAGAGGGAGTTTCTACTCGTTCTATTGGTGGAACAAAACAGAAAACAGTAGAGTGTAAGCACAGTAACGGCAGCATTTGAGGCATCGGATGCGACGAGTATGAGTATAAGGGAGATGAGAAAATGTAAACGTGGCATGCGGGCCACGTTTCCCTTATTTATCGTTTCCCGATGCTTATGTTTTACTAGGCCGGGCTGTACCGCGGTAGTACACGATAAGGGGCGCCAAGAGGGTGGAATCACTGAGGGAACCAATAACGTGATGTATTATACATAATGCATGGCACATCTCCAGTCAGGACGTGTGCTACCTGAATATGTGTGTATAGATACATTCTAGGCGCCACACGATCGTGAAAACCCCTTTTACTTCTTCCTCCATCTCTTACTTCTCCATGCATCCTCTCGCACAACCTATTTTGCTTTATTTCACTTACATTACTGTGTAGGAGTACCAGAGACCGAGAAAGCCCTCAATAATGGATCGTCGCGAGAGATGAATTTGATTTGGAGCTCAGCTACCTAACACACCAAGTCCGGGCGAATCCATTTGCGAGCAAAGTGCTATTGGATGTTCATACTCTGTATCTTGAATAACCATTTTGCATCCTCGTATATATGGTTAGATGTGTGTGGGTGTCTATTATATACGCTTATGTGTATGCATTTGTAATGGGCTTGCAATCCTAATCATCGTACTGCGAATTCATTTTGATAATTTAATTTATTTATTCGAGGAGTTTGTTGTGTGGTTTGTATTTAGGATGGAAATTTTTTAATAGTTTGTATTTTTTTTTTTTTTATTAATAAATTTTGTTTGTAATTGGTAAGTAGATATGCGTACGAGCTACTTACAGGAATACTTGGTTAGTTAGCTTATATGGAGTAGACGTAGACTAGTAGACTCAACTTGCTTTTTGCTTGGGAATGGAAAAGTTTTAGTCAGTTGTTAAGATAAAGAGTTTTGATATCGGGTTCAAATTATCCTTATTTATGGGATTTTATCTACTGAGATTAAATAAGAGGTTTCTTTCTGATATCGGCAGTTTTAATTTTAATTCAAGATGAAAGTTTATTTGATTTGAGAACATATTGAGCTCTAATATCAAACTATTTTTGAAGATTTGATGTGAAAATTTTGAATCAGATATTGGGGAGAGAAAAATTGTGTGAACACATTTTATTTACAATTTTATGGAGTAATTTAATGCAAAAAAAATGTTTCAAAGTGTTAATTTTTTGATTTTTTATGACAAACAAGTCAAGTAACCATAAAACCAAATAATTCTTACATTTTTTTTTAGAAAATATCTGCTTAAAATTGATATTTTCAAATTGCAATAAAAAAATTTGGTTGACTTAAAATCGATCATTTTTATTTGAATTTTTTTGTTCACTATTAATTAATAACTTTGTAAATTAAAATTATATAAATACGGAATAAATATAATAAAAATGTTTACACATTCCAACTTATTAAAATTGTAATTATTACCACTTCACCAATTACTATTTCATTCCGCTCACTTTAAACTCGATCTGTTTAAGGATAAAAATTAAATTAAAAAATACATATAATAAAAGCAGTTGACTCGAACCAAATAATTTGACAACTCCTAATACTTTGTCACCTGGTAATTTAGCGTTATCGCCAGATAATCCTGTAAAAGTGTGCATGTATATAAGTATTGAACCTAAAAAACATAAACCAAAAAAAATAGTTTGACAGTGTCACGCAAGAACATTCATCACAGTGTGTTATCAAGTTGGTTGCACACAGCGCGTGTTGATTCACAATTATGCGTCGCAACGTTCTCGTTCTGTTTCTCGACATGAGCATTAACCCCGATGAATCTCTCCCTCTCCCTCTTTCTCCCGCTCACTCGCCAGCCGGGTCTTACTCTCGATCCCCATTCCCCATTAAACTCTATCTCTTTTCTCACACAATCACGAGTTGGGAGTTGGGAGCAGAGGTATACATAAATATACATATATGTTGAAACAGTACTACGCCAGCACGTGTCGGCAGCCCGGTGATCCATGACTCCTCCGAGAGGACCAGGCAAGAGTTAGGGAAATAGGTTTGAGAAACTTGTTTGCTCGTTCCACATACCCGCTTCTAGTCGTCGGGAATACTGAATCGCGAGGAGGATATGTGCTGAAATTGCGAAAGAGCGTCTTCGCTTTCCTATATACCATCTACTGAATCTCTCCACCATCTACGTAGCTATATATCTATATGTTGCACATATATAATGCTCATACATACAAACATGATGTATATACCTCGAAAGTCGACTTACATTTCAGCTATTTTTTAAAAATTCAAATTTAAAAATTTTTCTCCAATCTCAATTGCTACTTTTTTAGTAATAAAATTATTTCTGTGACAATTTTTTTTAATTAAAGGGATCCAGTAGTTTAAATAGCAAAACTCCCAACATGTAGTCTTAAAAATCCAGGTTCAAGTCCTGTTTTGGTTCTAACTGCTTAAAATTTTTTTCAAGATGATCATTGTTTCCAATGAGTATAAAATTAATTTATGTATTTTAAACAAAATTAATTTGTGTAATAATTTTTTTAAACTTAAAAAAAATTTATTTTTCGACTTTGTGGCCTCAATAATCTTAGCATACTTAAATACGAGACCGTCACACGTATTTAGGAAGGAGGGTACGGCCGTTGGAATTAGAGCCGAGGAGAGCGAGCGGTGACACTCTCATTTCGTGGAGAATTTACAAGCGGGTCCTTCGCGTGCCTCGAATAGTCAGACCTAGTCCAACCCCTATATATAACCCGTGTAGCCGGCAGTCTGGCATAGTTAAGTGTACTTCTACTAGATGTACCCGACTGCGTAAGAAATTCACGTACTCTCTTCCTCGCACCTATTACTACAAGGAGGTTATTATCGTGGTCTTCTTTCCACACCCCCCCCCGTTCGCATTTTCCTCAAAGTCTCCTATCATGTCGAGTGCAGTCTAGAGACGAGAGACGTTTCCTTTTGAGCTGGAATGTAGCGATCACTTCTGATCTTATCTTTCAGTGTTATACCGTTTGAGAGGAGTTTTAACAGTCGCGATTAATTCCTTAGCTAGGTTAGTCATTAGGAAACATTAGAAGTTCTAATTTAATGATTTGTACATACATTACCTCAGATTTTTCTATAAAAATTTCGTTTAATTTAAAATTTTTTTTTTTTTGTTTATTTAGACTTTTGATGAATCAAGACCAGCTTGAAATTTTGGAACTCAGTTGAAAAAAATTTGGGTGAGTTAATTTGAGTTTTTAAATTTATTTAATAATGTGACGGAAGGAAAAAAAATATTTATTTATTAATGAAAAAAAAAAAAAAAAAAAAAAAAAAAAAAAGTACGTAGAAAAAAAATACACGAAGGAAGAAAAGTTTCGCGCATGCGCGAAACTTACTTGACGGTCACCGTCAAGCAAAAACGCCAGTTGCCAGTAAGGACTTGGCGGTTACCGCCAAGTTAGCATCGTGAGAACGAGATGCGCTGTAAAGGTGCGCATAAGTCAAGACCAGTCAAGGAAAATCGGAGCTCCCGGGATAATCGGAGCTGGCGATGCGCCGCGAATATGCGCGCCAGTGCAGTGGAAGGGGTAGTAGGAGCTCCCGGGCCAATGGCAGAGCTTATTTTGTCCCCGCTACCAACTGAAACTACTATATAAACCGGAGTCGCGGAACCCCGGGGCACTCTTCTTTGAGCCAGCGGCTGAGTACCAGGGAACTCGAAAGCTAGCTCAGGGAAACTAAAAACGTAAGAAAACTTAGTGCTCAAGAAAGAAGATTCGATTTCGACATATTTGGATAGTCGAAATCTCCGACCAGTCAAGGACACCAGTAAAACCCGGAATACCGTGGATGTAAATCCAACTACAGCAGAACCGATTTCGACTTATATGGATAGCCGAAATCTCCAGTCAAGCAGGAATACCGTGGAATACTGTTGAAGTAAAATTCAACCAGTATTGACTTTGACTTACTTTGGCAAGTCAAAGTCTCCAGTCAACCAGAAACCCCGTGAAGATCTAAAGGACAACAGCAGATACCCGATATTGGAAATTTATCTTACAATTTTATTATTTTATTATCTTGTATATTATCGATAAATAAATCTTATTTATTTATTTCAATTGGAAATATCTGAGGGTTTAATTTTGAGAAACCTACCACCGTGAATCCTGGCACCCGATGAGCTCATCCCGGATTAAATATAAATATTATTATGTTGATCGTTAGTTTTGTTTAGAAATAAGCAAAATAAACGTTACAATAATATAAAAATTATCAGTACATTGATAAAAAAAATTAAATTAATTAAAGAGAAAATATTTTGATCTTTAAACGTCATCTTGAGTCAAGCAGAAAATTTTTTGTTTCAAATATAATTTATTTGAACCTAAAATAAGTTCTCAGTTAATAAATATTTTTGGATTAAGAAATTTTTTCTTTTTTGACAAAGTTGTAATGAAATCCAGCAAATATATACACAATATAAAATAACATAATCATCTATAGTGATATTACATATTTATCCATAAGACTTAAATCAGTTGGACTTGGTGCAAAAGCCAAGACAAGAGTGAGCATGAATATCAAAAACTTGAACATAGCGTGATGTCCAGGCTCGCTATCGTGAATAAAGTTTGTTCCAGCAGGAGGTTAACCCTCAGGCGATGAGGTTTGTGCCGGTACGATGCTCGGCACCGTTTTCCCACTTTATTCTCCAACACCCCTCGGCAAGATCCTCACCGGGTAACGGGCCTTGTTGAGTGGAGGTTGCCTTGCGATACGCGAGCTCGGTTAGCTGTGCGTGGCCAAGTATCGCTGTAAGAAGACTTTACCAACCTATCTACTACCTATACTACCTACTAGCCAGCTCATTGCTCCGAGACACGCAATCATTATGCTGTTCCGCAATATCTCTTTCTCTTCTTACCCTCCTCGCCAGTAGTGCGCCCACTACCAGCTCAACTACAACTACTCCTCGTGGTAGAGACTACTCTTGTCCGGAATCGTTGCGCCATTATGAAAGTTACGTGGGCGTGCACGATCGCAGTTTGGCCCTTGCCAACTTTATTTACGAATCGAAATATGTCTGACCACACGACAGGATTCACTGAAACACGTAAACATTATCATCATAAAGATATTTTCGCCTTTCATTTAGTGGATATTAAAATTAATAGATGAATTGGAAAGAATTACTTTTTTTAAAACTTCTGATTGCTGCTTTTTTTTTTTGTTCAAGGATTGACTTTTTCTGTGTGACATTTTATTTTTTTTCTTGAAGAGCATGAAAAATTTATTAAATTAAAATAAAGGGATCATATCATAAGTGAACTATTTTTTATGATTTTTTGAAAAATTTTGAATTCAGAAAATCATTTTGAAGAATTTCAATGTTTAATTGAATAAAAAATTCTGAAAATTTTATTTAAATTATAAAAAATTGTTAGTTCAAGAATTTTTTTGCTTGATTTGAAAAAAAATTTAAAAAAAATCATTTCCTTAGATAAAAACTTTTCTTTTTTATTGATATATTGCCAAATTTTATATCCGTTTATAAAATTAATTAATCTTGACTTTTTTAAAATTTCATTGATAAAAAAATAAACTTGATTCGTCAGGAATAAATTGAACCAGAAATTTCAAATTTTTGAATCAAGTTAAAAAAATTCTTTTATTAATTCAGCTTTTTCTTATCAAAAAGTTAAATTTTTCAAAGAAGTCCAGCGCTTCCTCTTGTGCGTGGAGTAGGGGGTAAAAATATCGATAAATTTCGCCCCTCACTCCAGAAAAACTTAAAAAAAAAGAAAGTCTTAAAATCTCAAGCCAATTTGCAGTAATTCCTGTAAGGCAGTGATAACTCGTGACTTGGCGAAACGCCGGAAGGAGAATGGGCTTTGAAGTAGTTTGAGGATCTACTGCGAGTGGTATGGCGGGTATTCGAGTTTGGTTAGGGAGCAAAAGTATAACGAACGAAGAGATACGAAGTATGACACGGTGGGATACGATGTGATATGATAGGATAAGATGGGATATGATAGGACACCGGTGGCTCCTCGACGAAAGGGGTGAACCCGTCGTCTTGAGAGTGCCGTGTCGCCGGGAGCGAACTTACGTACACACCCTTAACTACCGGTACATACACTTGGTCCTCTGGGTGCCAGAAGTTACGGCGTCTCGACGCTACTTCCCAACTGTACCGTACGGGGTAGGCAGTAAGTATGCTGTAGAAGCTAGAAGCTAGCAGCAGTTCTAACCCTCCCTTACACCCTCGTTTTCTGGTTCTTCTTGCTCATCCACGCCGCTCAGGTGCCGTAACTTGTGTATAGTTAGTTAGCTACTTTAGACTTGATCTCAAACTCGAGAAATGTGACGCCGTAAACGAAAGCAGGAGCTCCGACTGGTATGCAACTAAGCTCCCCTGTTCTGCAGCTCTGATAACTGACTGGCGTAAGGCTTACTTACGCCTTATAGGTGAGGAGTTTTCATGACAACAGAACAGAACTCTTGGAACCTTGGTTCGGATCTTCGGAAACTCCCTCAGGCTGACCATCAGTTACTTCCTCTAAGCTGTCATGTTCGATACCAAAGTTTTAGCTGATAAACTTTTCAGTGTCTTGGATTATTAAATTCCCTCGTCGGATACTTTTCACTAAAATCCTCTTCATTATTTTGCTTTTTTAACTTCCCGCTAAAAATCTCAGATTTTCAAAAATCGGGAAGTTATTGTTTTCACACCGTTTTACAAAAATCGAGTTTTCATCAGATCTCGACGTTTGAAGGTCACAGGAAGCTTCCCTGACTATTTTTACGATGATGTCCGTACGTCTGTATGTGTGTGTGTGTGTGTGTGTGTGTGTGTGTGTGTGTGTGTGTGTGTACGTCATTTGAAAGGGCTTCACTAAACTTAGATTTTCTGAAAATTTGAACCGATTCGGACCGGTAGATTTCGAGAAAATGCAAAAAAAGTGAAAAAAAAAGTTGTTTTTTTTATATTTTTTTTTAATATCTCCGAATTAGCTGAACCGATCGGTCTCAAAAACTATTCAGCTCTTAACCTTGAAAACCCCCATCGATCGCCACCAAAAACGTTAGAATCGGTTGATGCGTTCGTGAGATATCGTTGTCGAAAAAAATCGAAAAAAGTGTTTTTTTGTAATAACTTCGAAATTCATGGCTCGATCGATTTAAACTTGGAAATTTTTCATGGAGCTCCAAAAACTGCTTCGATTGCCACCAACCGCGTGAAAATCTGTTCATTCATTCAAAAGTTATTGCCATTTGAAAATTCAAAAAATTGTGTCTTTAAACTGCTACTAGAGTTTTGAGCTCGAAGAGCTCAAATTGACACAAAAATAATATTTTTGAGCTCGAAGAGCTCAAAAACGTAATGTGTAGTTTGAAGCGTTTAAGTACAAAATGAGCGGGAAGTTGCAGGGATGGCCTTTAGGGTGAACCGTTTTTCTAATTTTTTTACTCATACTTCCCTGACTGTAACTATTATAATATAATATAAAATGCAATAATAATAATATAATTAAATTCTACTTGGATTGGAGGCAACATGAAGGCTTTAAGAACAAGAGACACGACAAGTGGGATATCTTTATCTGTATCAATTACTCGGTGATTAGATGTGGTAGATACGATCTACCCTGTCTGGAGATTTTTAACGTCAAGGGAAAAAATAAAAGGCTTTAAATAAATAACGAGTGAAGAGTGAAGAGTAAAGACTGTAGGAACAAGAGACGAGACATCGAGGGTGAGTGAATGAGGCTCATAGAAGCTAAGAGACCCTAAAGAGTGAAAGAGTGGAAGAGTATGTGATTGACAACACGAAGGCACTGCTCTGATTGTTGAGTGAACGCTGTCTTCACCCGAGATAAGGGATAATAAAATGAGGATAAATAAATAGTCGGCTTAGGAAATATCTTAATGAGAGAGTGAGGTGCAGCGAATGCCACTCCACTTAATTGACCGTACGCTTTGTATAAAGTTACTACTCCCGGACTTTATCTATCAAGGATATTAAATTAGCGTATTAAATTTATTCGGCAGGGCAATTAATTATGTTTGAATCCAGATCCAGGTGTCTTCAGTCTCTTAGTCTTCATTTCGAACAATACAATTTTTTATTTACATATTTATTATTGCCGCTTCTTATTTTTTGTGTGATGGAGTGATCGAAAGTAGGAAGCAGGAGGCTGATAGCGGCTTTGTAGAAAGGAAGTGATGATCAGCCCGGGGATGTAACCGGGACATGTAAGACGCGGCGTAATCTTGTCGATCAAACAATTAACAATGCATCCGCGGTAGGGGGTTGAATTGTAAGGCTTAAGGAGCTCGTAACAGGGAGGCGGTGCGCTGAAATACGAGAGGAAACTTTAGCAAGCCAATCGAGGAGAGTTTGTTTAGGTTTGAGAAAGAAGAAGCTACGGATAATGATCGGCGGCTGATCGGCATAAACGGGTGAGCTGTTTTAAAAAGGGGCGCTCGGTTGTATTCTCGAACGTCTCCTTTCCTTAGTGTCACTCGTTAATTAGCCGAGTCTTAATTGCCATAGACTGCCGCCGGGGAAAACAAGATCCACAAGTGCATCTCTTCTCTACTCCAGTCTTTTTGTTTTCTGACCAACATGTGCATCATGCATGCATGCATTTGTGTGTGTGTGTGTGTGTGTGTGTGTGTGTGTGTGTGTGTCATTTTATACAAAGCATGTTACGTTGGTTGGGTTGCTCGGTGCAGCGGATCTCCCGATTGCCACTTTTAAAATTTATTTATTTGTGGTTTTGGTTTTGGTTTTGGTTTTGGTTTTATTCGTCCAGTCAAAGGAGGACTTGACCGGTGTAAGTGCGTGACAGTATCTCCGGTGTATGGAAGGGACAAGAGGAGTTAGGCACCTAAAGATCTAAGGAGGCTGATGTATTTATAAGGAGGAAGATTTGCATACGATGCAGCAGATCCCCGATAGCAAGGGCTGGCGGCACGTCTTGGAGATTCAAAGAGGCTTTGTGCCATTATATCCGATCCTTCCTTCGCTCTCGAGGCTTTTCTTGCTCGTCTTATTTTTCCTGAGCTATAAGGTATACCTCTTTACCTTATACTTTATACCTTATACTTAAAGTTTGCTCCACTCACTGGAGAACAGTTCCTTTGATTCACTCTTAGCGACTTTGTGTCCTCTCATTCGTTTTGTCTCTGCCACTATCGTGTCCTTGTAGCCCTCCGTATATTTTGTTCACATAAAAATCACCGAGCCCTTAGCCTTTGATATACATCATTTATTTTTTTTTTTAATTATCTTCATTTATTCAAAATTTTTTACCCGTATCTGCTCGGAAATTCTTTCTGTCATTTTAAAGTTCCACGGCAAAAAATAATATCATTTAAATAATTAGTTATTATAATTCCAATTAATTTAAAATATAGGACCGAGCGGAATAGAATTAAATTTAAGGTATAAGGGAATAAAAAATTTATTGCCGCGGTTAATTAGAAGAAATGTATGTATAATTTTTTATTATACTATTTTATTTATTATCATTTGAGGAAAGTTAAATGCAAATGAGGACCACCATGGG